CATAAATGTCTCCATTTCCTCGCTTTGCTGCGGAAACCATGAAAAGAACATTGCTGTGGCTTGTTGATAACCTCTGTCTCTCCAGCCACATCAGGACTTGCTATTTGATGGAGGCATGCAACATAGCGTTAATTTTTACTCTTTTCTTTTCAATCAAGGGCCAAACAGTCCAAAATTCCACGGTAATCCCCCACACTTCATGTTCACACTTCACTCCAGTGTCTTTTTAAACAGTTTCCCATGTGCCTGCACAGTTTTCTTTTTACATCAGAGTTATCACCACGGGAGTTGCAAATTCACATCGTGTTTACATCACAATCAGTCTTACTTTCTTTATGGTTTTTAGGCGCATTAACCCAACGTTCACATTTCGTTTTTCCTTCCCAACCAGCAAATCAGAAAGCTGCGTCGGGAGCTGGACGCCTCTCAGGAGAAGGTGGCGACTCTGACATCTCAGCTGGCTGCCAACGTGAGTTTATTTACTTCAAAAGGTGCCGTCAAAACAGCCTGAACATTTGCACGATAACCTGCTGTCAGAGAGCTTTTATGGGAAGAGCTGCTTATCGAAGGAGGAATACAAATCTTTAAATCCTTTGCTGTGTGTTTGAAGCCCTCGTGTGTGTATTTGCTTTTGCCTGTTTGTAGGTTTGTGTCTGTTTTCTTGTCTCTGGTTAGAGCTTTTCCTTGCGTGTGCTCGTGTGTCTCGTACAGCGAGGATTGTCTCTCTGCTTTTGTCTCAGCTGGTGGGTTTTCAGCAAAGAGCCTCTCCCGAATTCAATCAAGCAGAGAGAACAGAATAGAGATAGATGGCTGAAGAAAGAGAACAGGGAGATGAGGATAAGTGAATCTAGACACAAGTGCGTCATGCGTGGGTGAAACAGAGTAAGATGCAGAGACCTTCAACCCAAAGACAAAGTCGTTGTGGAGATTTAGTTAGACTGACTTCAGCATCTGACTCCACCTCCCTACCATCAATGCCAAGTGTCTGATCGTGCGTGGAAGCACTCAGGTTGCTCGCTTCAGTCCTCTTCTTTGATCACAGAGTTGTGCAAAGCTGAAACTGAAGGCAGAGTGTGAAAAAGGCAAAAACAATTCACAGATATTTAAAAGAGCATTATATTTCAGTCTTTCCTGTTTGATAGTTGTGCACAATAGCTGATGCAAAACCCCTTTGCTTTGCTGTTTTTGGTACAAAGAAGTGTTGGGAAGTCATGTTACTTATTTATGACATAATGGGTGGATGTAATAAATGTAGCTGAGATTACATTTTATACAAATGTACTTTCTGATGCAGTTTATTTGCGGGATTACTTAAAATTTAATAGATGACGAGCTGCACTGTGGATCCCTGTGTTATTTCTCCACGTCGTGAAATTAAATAGCAGTGTAATATGCAACTAGTGTCATAACCAAGTCATATGTAAGCACAGACAAGAGAAACCCACATA